AGAGGGAAATTTCTGGGAAGAGGCAGACGTCAAAAACAATTTTTTTATTGAAAAATAATATGCTGTAGACGATTTTTGTGGTTTTGTGGTTTGGTTTTTGTTCATAAATTCTATGAACAAATTCATATATTTTACGAACAACAATAATAAAAATTCAAACATATTACACCTGGCGCTGTTAGATTCATAGAAATAAAAAATAAAATTAGTTTAGGGTGTTAGAGGGGAAAATTCGTGGAAAGAGGAGAGTATTGAAAAATAATATGCGATATATAATTTGTGTGATTTTGTCCATAAATTCTATGAACAAATTCATATATTTTAAAAACAATAATGTGAATTCGAACCTATTAAACCTATTCGAGGATTTTAGGACAAAAACCACCATCCCACCCTCTAAATTTATAAATGCAAATGTTAATATAAATAACAATATATAATTTTTCGCTTTTATTAAACACTGCCAAACGATCAATCATAAGATATGTCTCAATTAAATATTTTAAGGTCCACAATCGGTGGTAAATTGGATATATTTGTTGACTCTTGAAAATTAAAGATTGTGTGTGCCCGGCAATAAGTGTTAATTGCCTTCATAATAAATAAACACCGTGATTGTTATTGATTAGCACCAAAAAAAGTAGTTATTCTCTTCCTCTTAGGGATGTTATCATAAATAAATAAAATATTAACTGATAACAAAAAACAGTTATAAATAAATTGGACGCTGTTTTTATATACGAAAATAATAAATCTCATTTTCTAAAAGATTAGAAATGTTGGAGATAACAGAAATGAACATAAAAATGTGAAAGAGGCGTACACAAATCTAGGATAGATTTTTGTTTGAAAAAAAATCTTTGAAAAATTCACGTTTTTTGATCGGAGGGTTGATGAAAAATTATCCTTTACAAAATCTTCTCTTTTTAGCAAAAGACACTTGAAAACAAATATTCCTTAAAGCGTGGATTGGTCCCATTTTCGGACTGGATCTTGATTTGGAAGATATATTACGATGAACAAAGTTTGAATAAAATTGGTTACACCATTCAAGAATTACAGTGCCACCAGACCGCAAGACAGTCAAACGGACAGACATTTCTAAATGGACTCCAAATTGCCTGAAACCAAGAAAACGGAAAGTGTAAGACCCTCAGCCATAAAACGGAGGTTTTAAAAATCAACACCACTGAGTCGGATGCTGAATGATTTGAATAACCTCAAATTTTTTTAAATGCCAGCCGTCCAAAAAGCGTGGATTAAAAAATCACCGACCTCCCTAGGACTTAAAAAAATTACAAACTATCTGACATTGAAGCACAGATTTTTTAAAGAAGATTTTTTCACAAATTCTCTGACTTCGAGTCATGGATTTTTTAAATAAGATTTTTTTCCAATTACGTAGAAGCGAGGATTCTTTAAAGAAGATTTTGTTCACGGATCCAAGGACCTAGAAACGTTTTTAAAGAAGATTTCTCCTAAGGACATAGAAGTGTGGATTTTTAAAAGAATATTTTTTCCATGGCCAGAAAGTGTGAACTTTTTTAAAAATATATTTTCAAGGACCTCGAAATTTTTTAAAAAATATTTTTTCCAAAGATCTAGAACCGTGGATTTTAAAGTCGGTCTGGACCGACTATATGATACACTTCACCACTTTGGGTATATTGTACATATACACTTGCATGCCAATATTCGCTCGAAGGAACATACTCATGTCTATCTGCAACCTATGGTACATTTAATTTCATTCGGGCAGATTTACCATAGGTCAAATTTATGAAAACCGATTTATAGCAAAATTGAAACACGCTATTCGATACGCCGCACTGTTAAAATTTAATTTCAATCAGACACCCGTTCGAAATATACAGTATTGTTCGAAACCTAAGCAACCTAGTAAGTAATCATGGTCTTTTATTATCTTGTTAAATTGAATTATGAAAAGTACTTATTTTATTGACTATTGCACTATAAAGTCGACACTATACAGTCGACTCCGCTTTATTGAAACGGAAAAAAATTGGATTTTTGAACAGAAAATAATTTCAGTTATCCGAACTCATCATAAACGAAACATTTTTTACTTTTACGAATTTCAATAATCTCTAAATCATAGCGAATTTGTAAGTCTCGATTTTTAAGATAATAGACGATAGAAATTAAAACTGGTTAACATGTTCACTGCTTACGGGAATTTTATTATGAACTGTAAAACTTATGAACTTGTAACGAAATCCATCGTCTGCCTGTTGCAATCGTAAGACCTATCTTAAATACAACGTTTGATTTTAAGAACCTATAATATCGGCCGATTTTATGTCTTTTTAACAGCTGGCTAAGCTATAATACCCAATATGAGGTTGTAAATGAGTATAATACTTCCTTGCAAAACTTGTCACCAGACCTCTATCCCATTGAGAACCTTTTCAGCATTTTAATACGAAGGATTGGAACACGTCGCCTTAAAAACAGACAGGAACTAATGAACTGCTTAAAATCAGGGTAGGAAGCTATACCAACAACAATTCTAACAAAACTTATAGAATCAATGTCAAAAAGTTGTGCGGCAGTGATAAAAAAACGGGTATCATACGAAATATTGAAAGTTGCTTAGGTTTCGAACAGCTGCTTTGTGAGTTAATTTTGTTTTCATTTCTTTATTTTTTTCCAAAGAAATATAATTTAAATTTGTTGTTATTTTCAGATTATAGACATATAGTAGAGTAGCAAATAAAATATATATATTTTTTATAAATCAATTTAACGATATCATATAAGACCATGACTACGTACTAAGAAAAAGTTGCTTAGGTTTCGAACAATACTGTATATGGAAGCTATGGCTGCAATTTCCACCAATTTCAACAAAACGCAATACTCGACAAAAATCAATTTGATACGTTATGCAAAATTGTGTGTTACTTGGACAAACATAGGAGTTTGGTGAACCATTTATGTAAAATCGGACGAATATATATGTATATGCGGGAGCTATATAGGAATCTGAACCGATTTTCACGAAACTTACCACATATCATTCTAGACTCAATTCAGCACGCTATACTAAATTTCGTGCAAATCGAAAGATATATAGGGACTTTGGTGCACCATTTACATAAAATCGGACGAAAACATATATGGAAGCTATATCGAAATCGGAACCGATTTTCACGAAACTTAACACACCTCACTCTTGACTTCATTCAGTATGCCATACCAAATTTCGTGCTAATCCAAGGATATATAGGGACTTTGGTGCACCATTTACATAAAATCGGACGAAAATATACATGGGAGCTATATCTAAATTTGAACCGATTTTTACGAATCTTAACACTCATCGTTCTAGACTCATTTCAGTACGCTATACCACATTTCGTGCAAATCGAAACTATTTAGGGACTTTGGTGCACCATTTACATTAAATCGGATGAAAATATATTTGGGAGCTATATCTAAATCTGAACCGATTTTTCAGAAACTAACCACACATCTTTCTAAACTCAATTCAGTACGCTATACCAAATTTCAAATCGAAAGATATATAGGGACTTTGGTGCACCATTTACATAAAATCGAATGAAAATATACATGGGAGCTATACCTAAATTTTTAACCGATTTTTACGAATCTTAACACTCATCGTTCTGGACTCAATTCATTACGTTATACCAAATTTCGTGCAAATCGAAACTATTTAGGGACTTTGGTGCAACATTTACATTAAATCGGACGAAAATATATTTGGGAGCTATATCTAAATCTGAACCGATTTAACACACATCTTTCTAGACTTAATTCAGTACGCTATACAGAATTTCGTTCAAATCGAAAGATATATAGGGACTTTGGTGCACCATTTACATAAAATCGGACGAAAATATATATGGAAGCTATATCGAAATCTGAACCGATTTTCACGAAACTTAACGCACATTACTCTTGACTTCATTCAGTATGCCATACCAAATTTCGTGCAAATCGAAAGATATTTAGTGACTTTGGTGCACCATTTACATTAAATCGGACGAAAATATATATGGGAGCTATATCTAAATCTGGACCGATTTTCCCAATTTCAATAGGGTTTGTCCTTGGGCCAAATGAATGAGCTGTGCCAAATTTCATCCAAATCGAATAATAATTACGATCTGCACTTTGTTTACAATATAACCTGGACAGACAGACAGACGGACATGCATAAATCGACTTAAAAAGTGATTCTAAGCATATTCTCAAAAGGAACCATGCGCCTATCTTGTTTCCTTTTGCCTGTTACAAACATATGCACAAAGACATAATACCCTGTACCACAGTGTCGATTTTTTCAAGGACCTGAAATCATGGACTTTTTAGAGAATAATTTTCCAAGGAATTAAAAGCGTGATTTTTTTAAAAATATATTGAAAAAAACTGCAAGTGTGGATTTTTTAAAGAATAATTTTCCAAGGGCATGGAAGTGTGGATTTTTTTAAATATATTTTCAAAAACCTCGAAGTTTGGATTAAAAAAAGAGTTTTTCAAGGACCTAAAACAGTAGACTTTTTAAAGAATATTTTTCCAAGGACTTGAAGAGTGGATTCTTTAATGTATATTATTTCAAGGACATAGAAATGTGGATTTTTAAGGAGTACCAGGTCTTTGAATAAAGGTACCAGTTCCTTGACAAAAAGTTCTTTCAGAAATACCCCTGTAAAAAATATTCTTTAAAAATCCACGTGGATTTAAAAAAATATTTTTTAGGGACCTGAAATTGTGGATTTGTTTACATACTATTTTCTCAGGGACCTAAAATCGTGGACTTTTTAAAGAATATTTGTTTAAATTCACGCTTTTTTCCCCGGCCTGAAAACGTGGTCTTTTTAAATAATACTTTTTTCTTGGACCTGGAAGCGTTTTTTAAAGACCACTTAACCTACAAATACCATTCCCAATGACTTTCTACTATGGTATTTATTTCAAAAATTTAATCTTTTGACATTTTATAGAATACTAACCTCCATTCGGTTTACACACACACTTCGATAGCTTTTGATCGGAAAAGCATTTGCATACCAGCAGACAGGGTGTAGCACTACCACTGCGATTACCTGACGTAGGACTGCAGGCGGGAAAACCATTATCGTCGCTGCTGCTGATGTTCAAACGCAGTGGTGGGGTTTTTGGTGAACGTGGATTATAGGGATCCATTACTTGGATGTCCATTGATTCCATGGAATCGGTAGCAATTAAAACGCCACGCGAACTCATTTTTGTTAATGATTTTTCTATACCTCTTTTTTTGTTTGTTTTTGTTTGTTTTTTTATTTCTTGATTGATAAATACACAAATAATTTTTGTTGTTCTTCAAATGGTTTTTTATTATTATTTTTTGTTTTTCTTTTTCTTCTTCTGGGGCGTAAATCTATTTGTTAACTTTGTTTACTAATGCCAGTCAGTTGAGACTATTAGGAATTACACCAAAATTCAGGTGATATTATTAATGACACTCTCCGCCAATCAAACCAACGGAAGCAACCAATCTATTCTATTCAAGGATAATTTTTTATTACATTTCAATGTCCTGGGTATTTATTTGTCGTGCCTATGAGACTAATTGCAGAGAACTCCAAGTACACACACAAAAATAGTTCCTTGGAATACGTTTAGCCACCGCCCTACCTCCTTCTTTCAACAATAGCCGACCATTATCCTTGAATTTCTTATCGGGACAAATAATCATTTATTTTGGCTAACAAACAAACAGCAACAACAAAACCCCAAATTTTCTTTGTCTTTTTAATCGCAAATAGCAAAGAAAGAAGTCTGTCTAAATTGTCTTGCCAATTATATGAAGACCTATTAAAATTAAATACTTTGTATTTTTTCATATAATTTTATTTTTATACATATATGTATATTTAATGCATAATATATATGTATATATAGAGTATATATAATATACTTATATACAGATGTTTTCAATAAACATTTTTTTGAGAAATTTCGAAATTAACATCTCGGCGAACAATAAAAGTGCATCACACTCGAATCGGGCCAACGGGTCGGTCGCACGTCGTAATAAATAACATGTTTCAGAGTGACGTCATCATGGGAAAATCACAGCCAGAGGTGGCCAAACTTTTACAATCAAATGAAAAAAATATTAAAAAAAATCAATTTTTCGGAATAATATTTAAAGCCTTGTATAAAATGATTTTTGAATTATATTTATAGGCGAAAAGATATAAAAAAAATTTTTTAAATATACGTATAGGCGTGTATTTTATAGAAAAAATATTTTTGGTAAATGCGTGGATTTTTTAAAAATATATGTTTATACCCTTCACCACACTGTGGTGCAGGGTATTATGTCTTTGTGCATATGTTTCAGGAAACGAGATAGACACATGGTTCCTTTTGAGAATATGCATAGAATCACTTTTCAAGTCGACTTATGCATGTCCGTCCGACTGTCTGTCTGTCCTTGTTTAATTGTAAACAAAGTACAGGTCGCATTTATGATCCGAATTGGATGAAATTTGGCATAGGTCACTTATTCGGCCCAAGGACTAACCCTATTGAAATTGGAAAAAATCGGTTACGATTTAGATATAGCTCCCACATACATATTTGTTCCATTTAATGTAAACGGTCCCTATATATCTTTCAATTTGCACGAAATTTGGTACAGCCTAATGATTTAGGTCTAGAATGTGTTAAGTTTCCTGAAAATCGGTTCAGATTTTGATATAGCTCCCATATGTAGTTTCGTCCGATTTAAGGTAAATGGTGCACCAAAGTCCCTATATATCTTTCGATTTGCACGAAATTTAATACAGAGTACTGAATTAAGTCTGGAACGATATGTGCTAATTTCGTGAAAATCGGTACATATTTAGATATTGCTCCCATATATATTTTCGTCCGATTTTTGTAAATGGAGCACCAAGGTCCCTATATATTTGCACGAAATTTGGCATAGCGTACTTAATTAAGTCTGGAACTATCTGTGTTAAGTTTCGTGGAAATCGGTTCAGATTTAGATATAGCTCCCGTATATAGTTTCGTCCGATTTTTTGTGAATGATGCTCCAAACTCCCAATATTTGTCCGATTGGGACAAAATTTTGCACAGAGTACTGAATTAGGTCCAGAATGATGTCTGCGAAGTTTTGTTAAAATCGGTTCATATTTAGATATAGCTCCCATATATAGATCCATCCGATTTATTATTGTTTTTTTTTTTTTTTTTTTGAATGATGCACCAAACTCCCAATATTTGTCCGATTGAGCAAAATTTTGCATAGCGAATGCAGGAAAAAATTATGTGTGATAAGGTTTGTTGAAATCGGTTCAGATTTTGTTATAGGTCTTATATATATTTTCGTTCGATTTTATGTATATGGTACACCAAAGGTTCTATGTTTGTTCGATTTACACGAAATTTGGCAGAGGGTATTAAATTGAATATAGAGTGATAGCAAAAAACAAATGGAGTATGCAACGGTTACTCAATAAGGACCATTTTAATTTGGTTTAAATATCTATCTAGATAGCAATGGCCCTCCAACGATTCTATCTATCTACAGGATATTGTAGATAATAACATCTCTTGTATATACCCAAAGTGGTGAAGGTTATCATATAGTCGGCCCCGTCCGATTTTTGAATTTTCCTTACAGATTTTCACTTGCCAACTGTATATAAAAATCTTTACAACCCAGACAATGAATCATTTTAATTGATATGACCGACATATATACATATACAAAAATCTAAGTGTAAAAATAAATATCCACGATTTTGAAATTAGCTAAATCGAAAAAAACAAAACTGAATATGACGAAAATGAGTATCATGATAGTTCTAATTATGTGGGTAATTATGGTAACGTGTAAAAGATTTATGACAAAGTGTCAAAGAAAAAACAACAACAAATATCATAAAAACCCATTGACGTGGAAAGACCTGAAACGCATTCCCTATAAGTTTTGATTGCACATTTCCGTTAAAAATATTTGCTGCCACTCCTTGTTCAAATAAATCCAACTACGCCAATGACCATTTGAATAAAAATAGACTAAAAATTATTTGCAAAACTGCATATCATTCCAAGGAGGTTTCTATGCCACCATTGCGGTGTGGGAGTATTTGCTTTGGATGACACTATTTGTGTGGGGCAATTCGTTGTCGCCGTCTTTGTCGTTTTTCGAATGCTAATGTTTATTATAATTAGTGTGCAATTTATAAAAAGTAACATTTAAGTGCAAATGAAAAGCTAAATCATGTAGTTTTGAAATTTTTGGTTTGCTTTTTTTGAGAAGAAAAAAATTCTAAACAGAAATAAAATATAAATTTGAAGCGTTTCAAATTGTATTAAATTTTTTTTAAACAGAAACAAAAATCGTACGGGATGTTTAGAGATTCTAATGAAAAATTTATTTTTTTTTTCAAATTTCCATCTGTAACGAATTTGGTCCAATGAAAAATGGGGTTTAAAACCAATATTTCAATGAGGCACATTTTCGCTGTATCAAAGTGTATATACCCTTATTAGCTCTTATTATTTTATTATTGTTTATGCCGCGCATAAACAAAAAAAAAAGTTAACAGCCTGTTTTTGTAAAATTCTAAACGAACGAATTCGAGTGACTTACGACCAAACTCCATGGTTTTGAAAAATATGTCATTTATTTTTGTTTTGAATCAAAAAATATTTGTTTACATAAACAAAGGTTTGGTCGTAAGTCACTCGAATTCGTTCGTTTAGAATTTTACAAAAACAGGCTGTAAGTGTTTTGGAAACTTCCATCTCTGTTATGAACACATGTTAAATTCTGTTTCGATCTGGAAACTCCTTCATATAGAAACATGTGTTCAAAAAGACGCATCCACAATTTTTTTACAATGAAAGCACGCATTTCTAATTCATCCATTTTAAAAAATTGCCTCTTTGTTCTGAAAATGAGATGTACGTTTTATATTTAAGGCCCTTCTAAAATGTGGACCGATATAACAGATTTTCAATATGAAACATTCTAGAAATAGCAGCCGTCTATGTGTAAATTTTCAAGTTATACCTTAATTGTTGTGTGATTTTAACAAACTAGCCCATCCAGAATTTCATTCTCACCAATAATATTTGGTTGGGAAAAATGAAATCCATTATTTTTTCGGCAGATGGCTACTAAAATCGGAGAAATGCTCGAATTTAACGACATGTTAACAGTCGAACATCGCCCAGGTGCTAAAAAAAACAGGGCCATAAAACTGTTACCATTTACACAAAACTGGATTCAAAAAGAAGCTCGATGTTTGGGTGTCATACCAATTAACAGAAAAAAAATAGTTTGGATCGAATTTCCATCTGCGAATCATTGGCCAACAGGAATGAGATAGACTCATTTCGTAGACGGATGGGGACTGGAGATGATAAATGGATCACATACGATAACCCTATGCGAAAACGATCGTGGTCAAAGAGCGGTGAAGCACCTCAAAATGTGGCCAAACCAGGACTAACGGCCAGGAAGGTTCTGCTATGCATTTTTGTGGGACGGGAAGGGGATTATTTATTAAGAGTTTCTTTCATATGACCAAACCAAAGATAGCAATTCACCATAAACGGCCAGAATTGGCCAACAGGAGAGGTGTCGTGTTCCACCAGGACAACGCTAGGCCACACACATCTACAATGACTCGCCAGAAACTTCGTTGGGAATTTTTAATACATCCGCCATGCAGTCCGGACTTGACACCAAGCGAATTTCATCTTTTTCTTGCATTGCAAAAAATTTTTAATGATAAAAAATTGGTATCTAGGGAGGATTGTGAAAATCGACTACTAGAGTTTTTTTGCAAATAGAGCGCAGGACTTCTATGAGAGAGGCAATATGAAATTACCATTAAAATGGCAATAAATCATACCACAAAACGGTGCATATTTAACCAAAATCGGATATTCCTCGCAAAAGTCCTGGTAAAAATTTGAGGGTTTTGCATATCATTTTTTTAAACTATGTGTTCAGCACACTTGTTAATTTTGTAGTTCGGAACACCTCCTCGCTTTAAATCTAATCTTTTCACTTTTTCAGTTCGATTCAATAGATTGTATATCTTACATGTAACTGAAAAAATTTCCATTTATTTTATACTAGCATATGCCCGCTACTTCTTTAGAAATATTAAAGCATGTATTAACATATTTTTTTATTTTTACAGAAAACTACATGTGCCAGAAACACTAAGCAATCCACACATTAATATCGA